AATTTCAGGTGTATAGCAAAGTGATTTGGAGACCCATCTATCCAAATATGCATGTATATATTCTTTTTTTACCAATTCTTTTCCATTATAGGTTATTACAAGATATTGAACATAGTTCCCTGTGCTGTACAGTAAATCCCGGTGGTCTATCTATTTTCCACACGGCGCTGTATATCTGTGAATCCCATACTCCTAATTTATCCCTCACTGCCCCTACTCCCCTTTGGTAACCATAAGTTTGTTTTCCATGTCTGTGAGTCTGTCTCTGTTTTGTAAGTGAGTGCATTTGTCTTGTTTTTTAGACTCCGCATAAAGTGATCTCATGTGATATTTGTTTTTCTCTGTCTGACTGACTTTCTTGTTTCCCCCTTTAACACTGACCGGAGAGGGGATGTAAGTCAGTTATCGGAGGGCGTCCCCATGAGCCTGCAGGCACATGCTCGGGGGCTGGAGTGAAAACACAGCACAGCTTTGGGGTCTGGCTGACACTCCAACCCACACAGACCCAGACAGGTCACGGGCACTGGGGCTTTGTCCCGCTTTTACTGGATTCTGACTTCTCAGCAGACCTGTGGACTCCCCAGACCCCGTGCTGTAGCCTCGGATACGCCCCGTAGTGCACCTGCCCACTTTGGACCCTCCCTCTCTTCATCCTCTTCCTCTTCGTTACAGAGTTCTGCACTCTATATCCTGCGGTGTTGGCTTGGTTGGCTTCAAGTTTTGGTTTTGGTCAGTTTTGTTCGGTGTCTCCGCCAAAAAGGACAGGGCTGAGGCTGGCGACCAGCCGTTCCAGTTTGCCCAGCACTGACGGGCTCCTGGCAGGTGAGATTTTCAGTCTGAAAACCAAGAAAGTCTCAGGCAAACTGGGACCCATTAGGCACCCTAGGAGGAGGAGGAAGAAATACAGTATTCCAAACTCAGCGTGGACTATTTACACAGAAACCAACCCTTTTACACTAAAAAGATTAACCTCCTCTTAGCTTATTTCCTACGACCTTACAAGAAACGCCGTCTCTTTGTTTGCCTGGAGGAACGTGTGTGTCTTCAAACCCCGTAATAAATCCTTCGCAGCTTAAACTTGCTGGAGCAGGTGTGACTCTCACAGTTGCGTCCTGCCTGACTCAGCGCCGCGTGGTATGTTTGCAGTGGAGACATCACTCCGACGAAGCTAAAGGTCACGTGTAGAGAATGTGTGTCTGGGGGGGATGCAGATTTTTTTTCAGGCCAGCAATATTGCCCTTTCCTTGATGTAGCAATGGCCCGGGTCGTCCCTTGGAGAATCTGAGGACAAAGAGCTTTCTTTTCCCAGCCACAGGGACGGTCCAGGCATTGGCTTGACACCCAGCTCGGCTAAAGAGGATTATCTCCAAAGAGTTTGCCTTTAGCTACTGAGAAGACGTTTGCTTGCTTCCGTTATGTACTGGACTGTAGGGACAACTTAAACTTAAGGCTCGCCAGTGGATACAGAGCTTGCTTACGAATGAAACCGGCCAAGAAGGCAGAGCTGCATGGGACAGAGAAGGACTGCAGACTTGTCATCTTGTGGGAACGTCTGGATCTGGCCATGCCGGAAACGGCTGTGCAGTTACAGGTGACGCCAATGCTGCTTTGCTTAAATGAGTTGGAGCTGCGTCTGTGTGGCTGGCTATCTAAGGAGTACTGAGCAGCTCAATGTGACACAGCGGAATTTAAATTTACAAACAGATGAATTTGGGGGTAGGACTGCCATAAAAGAATTCACTTCACTAAATACTTGGTTTGATTGTATTTAATGTTTAATTCATTTTTAAAATATTTGATTGGCAGATATACTTTCAGGGACACACGTAAAACTTAAAGTGAAGGAAATTTGGTGGAGTGCTTGCTCTTAGCCTGACTGTTTCTCGGCTAGCATGGTGCTGTGGGCAAGTGACTTAACCTCTCAGTGATTTATGTGCCTCATCTGAGAAGTGTAGGGGGCAACAGTAACGAACTCACACGGTGATGGTGTGCAGGCGTGGAGCTAGGACAGCGGTCTGGTACCTGGATGAGAGTTAGCGCTTGTCGATAAGAAATAAATGGTTGCTAATTCATTATTTTTTTCTATCACATTTAAAATTAATTGAATATAATCATTTTTAGGCATTTTAGATAAGAACATGAAGCATCACAAAAATGTAAGCAAATATATAAAACACTGAAGCATATGCAGGAAAGTAGAGCTCAGTGGTGGAGAACCTGCTTAGCATGCACGAGGTCCTCCATTAAAATAAATAAATAAACCTAATCACACCCCCCACTCCAAAAAACAAAACAAAACACTTAAGCATAAAAAAGTTAGAAGCAGTTATGTAAATAAGAAGTAAGCTTGGGGCAAAGGCTGAAAAGCTATAATATACAAAAGATAAAACATTCCTTTTACATGTGGTCCAGGTGATGGCTAATTTTCGCTCACTGGAAAATGTCATTTATGATATCAATTTTCCATAAAAAGATAAATATACATAATGCAGGGATATGTTTCAGAGAGTGGGTTTCAAAGTCTTGCTTAGAGTAAATATTGCTGCTTGATAAAAATAAACCATTGCATCATCAACGGCTCAGGAACCGCACAGTACTTCCCTGCCTTGCTTTCTAAAAGGAAACCAAAGGCTAGAATTGGGTCATATAACCAGTGTGAAAATAGAGGGTATTTTAATTAAGATTCAAGTTGACTTTTTAAAGTGTTGTTCAAATCAAATGCTACCCTGTGTCAATTGCTTCCAGCTGCCGAATAGGTTTGTAAAGTTAGAGGGCATTACAACACCGTTGTCTGCAACACATCTCAGTTTCACTTTTAAAATGTAGAAGATAAATCCCCAAGTGCATAAAAGTGTATTGCAGTAACCATACGTGATGAACAAAGAGCAACAACAATAAGCACCAGGTATTCAGCGCCCCATCCCTGCAGGGGTAGGTGTGGAACGAAGGCGAACGTCTGTGTAAACGTTCAGAGGCAAATTAACAGTTACGTCCAATGTGAATCTTGGACTTTTCCATTTTTTTTCATAGACAATTTTGCATCTGTTGAGTATATGCTGATGGTTTCTTTCTTTCTTTCTTTCTTTCTTTCTTTCTTTCTTTCTTTCTTTCTTTCTTTCTTTCTTTCTTTCTTTCTTTCTTTCTTTCTTTTTTTTACAGGTCATTTTCCTGGAAAAAATACGGGGATGTAATATTTCAACTAAGAAATGTGACATTTTAAGGCACGCCAATAGCCATTTTTGTGGAATCTCATTGAATCTTCTGCATATGAATGAGGGAAAAAAATAGTAGAACTGTTCGGTGGTCAAACGTTCCCCGTCCTACCTCATTCTGTAAATTCTTCAGGTCGAAAGCAAAACTGAATGGCGTTTGGAAACAAGTGTACGCATAGGAAAGTAGCTTCCAGAATCTAGTGGTCTCGGATCGGATTGGGAAGAAAGAAGGTTCATTGCTGGCCAGTCGCTTATTCCCCGTTTTTCATTTCTGTTTGTAATTCCTGTCATCTTTGTTTCTTATGCTTTGGCTAAAAAGGGCTAGTCATATTTATTGGAACTGGGTTTCAATAAACATTACGCATTATGGCGAACCAAAGAGTGATTTATTGATAATTTGTCACCTATATTTATGAAAATGTAGACCCCGGAGCTCCAGAGCAGCTAAATCATATCCTACAGCTTGAACGTGTTGGTCCCCCCTCCCCCGACACTTACTATCAAAAGTGCACCATCCGTGCTGACTGCCCCCTACGACTCAGGTCCTGGGCGTCACGCACTTACACAAAACAAGACAAAAAAAAAAAAAAGAACAACTGTTTGAGATTTATTTTTTTTGCTCCAATATGTTTTCAATTTCATTCTCAAGTTGCAGAAATAATAAATTGATAAAATGTAATTAGAGGTGAGATTACAATTTAATGAGGCCAGAGAAGGGGCGAGAATGGAGCGGTAGAGGGTGAAGATTTTTTTTTTCTCGTTTATTATGTTACAGCTGTAAAGAACGTGCACAGTTTCCAGATGCAGGCAGCTGTTGGTCCTTTGGGAAGGAAACCAAGGTTCAGAGTTCATTTTGATCTACTTGTTTTGGCCCAGTGATGTTGCGGATGACACTTGGCAGAATTGCCACCTCCAGTCCTCCACGAGGTTGTCCAGGCTGGGCTGCACGTCTCTGGTCTGGCAACCTCTCCAACCACAGGTTTTCCCCCATGGGGGTGTCGGCAAGGACTCAGCAGATCTAATATTCACGCTCGGATCTGCTGGTGCGCTTTCTTTATAAGAGTAGGTCCTACATCACGCTCGCACCTGCTTCCTTCAGATACGTGAACAGCCTCTGTGCGTCATGTTCCCTCAGGCAGGGCTCTGGCAGTGAACAAAGCACCTACCTATCTGACTGCAACCTATTTTCCTGAGTTTTTTTGGTTGGTTTGTTTTTTCATTCACGAAACTCAAATTCCAGGGTGCTCCCCCACCTTGCCCCAAGATACGACTCTAACCGTGTGTTTTTCCATTTGGTCAAAAAAACTTTGGGACCTAAAATATTTACAGCAGTAAAATAATGCGTATTTTTTTTCTTCTTCAGAGGGATAATTGAGAGAAGTAAATAAGATTTCTAAACACAGTTTAGGCAAATATTTCTTAAATGTAGTGCTCTAGGTCTAAGGAATGAAACTCATAAATGTGTCTATACGTTCTGCATAGAAGCCTACAAAAATCATGTTATAGGTACTATTCTGTAATATCTCAAGCTTTAATTATAGGGTAATTGATCACTGTCTTGCAAGTTTACAGTGTTTTTTTATGATTCAGTGGCAACTATAGAATGAAAAGATGGGGAAACAAACATAATTAGCCATTGTGGCAAATTTCTTTTGCACAGCCTCTGGTACAGATCTTTATTCCTTTAGTGGAGAAATACTGATTGAATTTAAAATCTGCAACTACAAGCACCAGGACAGCTGGACACTTACTAAGTGAAAGGTGGGGAACTTTTTTTTCATCGTGAGTTTGAGGTAATTTATTCCCATAATCCCTCATTGACATATGAGCATGCACATGTGAAAATCATTCTTCAGTGAGTCTCAATTTCATTTATTTTTAAGCATGATATTGTGGTAGCAACTTTAGGGGCTATCTTTGATATGTAACTAATTTTAT